TTTGTGGGGCATCAACGGGAATCGACAGTTTATTGTTCTTTCTCCGGGGCAAACAACGGAGTGAGATTTAAAATCACACGCGTACACACAACAAATTTGGTCGACACCCCTTCCGTTGTCACATCCACCGCTGCCAATCACTGTCGAGCCGGGTATCCAGCCCATTTCGCGTGGCTCTGTTCTCCACCTAGGGGACCACACCGGGGAAGTGATATAGTGCCGCATGCCATGCAGTGTTGTCGACCAGTCACAATGCCGGCGGGCAGAGAATCGGTGTGTGTAATTCATTCGGCGTTTGCGATGGGGAGAGGGTGCGGCAGCAAGGGTTAAAGTTGGTATCGAAGCACTCTGCTTGTGCTACCGCCGGCGGAAAGAGGAGCCAGCGGCGGGCGGGCCAGTCGCAAGACTACTGTAAGTGGAACGGCCCGTGGTGGAATCGGAAGCGGGGGGTCAATGTGAGCGGATTCAGCGGAAGGGATGCACTTGGCAGCAGGACGCCATCTCCGTGCGCGGAAGGGGTGAGTTCGCGTATGCCAGAGAGGACAAGCTCGCACGAGCCTCGGCGCGTTGTTGTTTGGGTGAGGGAGATAGAGTGTTGGAGCCGATGGGGGTATGTGAGAGGTGGGGATAATGTCAGCTTGCCGGAGACAAAGCATGGAGGGTCTGTGAATCGTTGTTTGCGGAGAGCTGGCGTTGGCAGCAAAGAGTATCTTTGCGCTGTTTGCGTATGATTACGGTGCAGGCAGGACGAGTACACGCACCATATCCGGGTGTTAGAGCTTCACAGCAGTTTGCAGTCGGTCGTCATGCATTTCCTCTGCCAACCTGCACCCACGGGATCCCCCCACATCGTGTTCCGAGGAGCGTTGGCTGTGTCCTCTCGGGTTTGAGTCGTCGACTAGGCTCGGTCCAGCCCCTACTTTCGGAAACACCTTCAGTAGGGGCTGGTACAACTTAGGCGTGGGTTGGCGTGGTGCGGGAGCAATGAGAAGTTTAGCCTTTTTTAGTAGTGTTGATCCGATGACCCGCGCGCTGTCACAGCATGAGTAATCAACATCGCGTCCCGTAACACCACGTCCCACGACGCGTTCTTCGCGATGGATGGGCCTGTGAAGATGTTTACACCCGAGAACCCGCCAACCAAGCGCAAACGACGTGCCAACGGGTCTGCACCAGCCACCACCAACGAAAATCGGCCTCCTCTTGTGTCAGTTTCCCGGAACATGCCTCTGGGGTCAACACCAGCATCAACGGCTCCACCACGCGATCCCGAGGTGCAGCAGCTGGCTGATGCCATCGACATTCTTAAGCAAAATGGCTACTCGACCGTGTTCAAGTTCTTCGACGCCTACCTTGGCTCGACAGAACAGCAACAGAAAGCCGCCGCCACGCGAATGATCAATGACCACGGAAAGCAGCTGTTGGACCACCTCTATGCACGCCGTCCAGAGCTTGTCGAGGAATGGATGTCGACGGTAACCCATGCCAAACTTGAGGCAGAGGTAAAGGACCTGGCAGAGACACTCCGCCCAAGGTATGGCGAGCGGGTAACCAACCTGCTGCACGACTTCAATCTGGACGGGCTGCTTGCTGATGCAGAACGTGTTGCGCCAACTCTGTTTGCTGGACTACGCAGTGCTGGTGCCATGCCTGCTGATCTACGTGGGCAAGATTCTCAGAAGGAGTATCGAGCGGCAAGTGTCTCCGAGTCTGCTCAGAGAGGTGTCCCAATTGACATGCCTTGCAGATTCTTGGTATGATTCTCTCGATGATCTGCTACTCCAGCAACGAGAAGGCGTCAAACATGCGACTCACAATGTCCATTTTCCTCCTGGCATCGTCTGCAACACGTGGCCTCTTTGCTGCAGGACATCATGCCGGAATCTGTTTGTCATACACTGCGACAATCCAGAAAACCAAGGACCTCGGACAGGAACGTCTCCGACATATCCTCCACATCGTCCGGACAAGCGCTGTCATGATCATTTGAGACAACCTGAATATCGCGTTCAAGGTGTCGCAGCAGTGTGCCGACTCGAAGGACCATTTCGACAATGGCACGACCGTTACAATGATTCCCATGTTTGGGGTCAAACCGGGTGACCTTCCCCTCGAGCTACTCTCCCCGTTGAAGACCGCGACACCAAATTTCGAGTTCCGACTCGACCTGGACTATCTGCCCACACCAGAGACCTCCAAGGCACTGCAAGAGGCGCACATCTGGCACCTTGTCGACATCATTATGACTCACTTTCCGCATCTGCGTGGGCGGTTTGCGTCGCTCCTGACCCAACCACCCACGGACGTCTTTATTCCCGTCCACAAGACCGAGCAGTTCCCGCTGCCAGCGATGGAAACAGACGAGTCCACCATTGATGGTACTATCCAGGCGCTTGAGACGATCTGCAAGGTGCTAGGACTCGACGAGGTGGCGGCAATTGTGAGGCATGGAGTTCTGTTTGGGGCAGGGGATCTATTGTCTCTAGAGCTGTTGCTCAAGGTTTGTCTTCATTTGCCTTGCAAAACCAGACTGAGTCCTTTGCAGGCTTCTGGTAGTCGACGCGAGAGCTCTGACATAATTGAGAACCTCAGTCGCTACATCAAAGGTAGCCTGGGCCTCTTTCATACGAAAATGGCGGGTTTCCGATGCGTTGGAAACGAGTACTGGGGCAAGCCTAATAGTGCCTCGCCGTGGTCATTATGGCGTATCAACACACTGCTCGGCCGGAAGACGATAACAGCTGGCTGGCAGGCCAAGAAGTTGCCGCCGTTTCGACCCATCACCGAGCTGGTGCTGGACATTGCCCTTCCAGCCAACATTCTGGACGCATTTCGGCTCTACTGCAACACATCTTCTATTGAAAAGTGGGCCGAGGACGTCACCTCCTTCTCTGATATCACCAATCTCGCACATACCGTCTACCGCAAGCTCTGCTCAGCACGCGAGACGGCTCGTCTCCGTGCCCTACCGGATCACCAGCGCGATGTGCCATTGGAGAATATCATACTCTTCAATCGTGACGCCCTCACTATGCGCGTTCTCCGTACTGCTGTTAAGGCCGGCCATATTGGCATGGTGGTGACTGTTCTGCACCACTGGATGGTCATGTTTCGCGGCTCAGGCAAGATGCCGAAGTATGCAGCCGCCCTCTTCCATGTGCTCATTGACCTGAAGACTATGCACCCGAAATTGCGGTCAGTCCTCGGTGTAACGCGTCCGATCGCCCACTGATACTGTCAAGGCACGCTTTCCTCATGAATTGGCTGGTTAATCTCAGCGGGAAGCCATATGGATTTAAGGAACTGGACTTGTTGCAAGAACACCAGAACTTCTGGCTCAAAGTATGACTATTTTGACGCTCGAACAAGGCTCACATATGCGTGACAGATCATCTACGCGGCGAAAGGTGTAAATCGCAGCTGGAAATGGCTTGGGATGATTTCCGTGTCCATCTTTGCGCTGCGGGACACCATCCGGACAGTCCAACAGGATTTTAACACGTCATACAACAGCAAGAAACACACCAATCCCTCTCTCGAGAAGGATCTGACCGCCGTGCGTGGATATCTCGCCCAGCACACGATTCAAACATACACTCCCCCGCCGACCGGGGAACGATTCCGCCACGCCAGCACGCGACCTGATAGCCGAGGGTGTCAAGTACGCCAACGCTGCCAATCCGCTGCGTGAATTCCGCGCAGATCGACGCAAGGCGCGTAATCTGGGCTTCCCAGCACCAGCGGTGCCACAATCGAGCGCCGCACCGGTTGCTGACGCGTACGAGAGTGAATCAGACGACTCACCTGAGCAGCAACATGGCGGCGAACTCGAGAATGAGTTTGAGGAGATTGAGTTAGAGGACTTGGCGCTGGATGAGGAAGAGTTCCCAACAACGGTGGACCCGCAGATATACGTGGATGCAGTCAGTAGTATTATTGCGACAATGGTTTAGAGCAAGCTATCTATTTCAAGTTCTTACTTTTGCGTGGCCGACCTCTCGTTTTGGTTCCGCGGGATTGATCTGCGCGGGTCACACGCGTCGCTGTTGATCCTCGACCACCACGATCACTGCTGCTCCCGCCACCACGGTTCATCGCCGTAGAGCCTCCCCGACTTGTACCCCGCCCTCGCTTCGAACCCGGAGTTGCGTAGAAGGAGGACACGGGGAACGCCTCTCTGAAGGCGGAAATCGGGTCCAAGGGCGTCAAAAGCGGCGTAGATTTCAGTCAACTTGGTGAGCAACATGCTCCCAGCCTCTGATATCGGGCGTCCCTGAACATCTCTATAGCCCAGGTGCCAACGCGTGCACCCGCGTAGCACTTCAGCTGACTCGATTCGCTCGCCGAATTGAGCAATCTGCTCAATCACATCGTCACCAAGCATTACCTCCCCAGCAATCCCCTCAATGTCTGGATACAAATGCTGCGCCAGGACGGGTCGCCATGCCTTCAGGTCTCGACGCAGCATGTAAACGAGGCGATCTGGCTGCGTTTTCTTGCGACCCCGCTTCAAATTTGGTATTCGCTCTAGCGCGATCTTTTCGATGGGAAAGAGGTCCGGGGTGCAGCGGGAGCAGCATCGTTGGTTGGGATGCCGTTGCCAGAGGGTGTTAACACCAGTCTGGAGTTGTTCTGACACTGGTGAGCCCCGCCACTCCATGTTTGTGATGCACTTGCTAACCTTTCGTCTCGTTCTCAAAGAACTCATCCCAAATCTTAGCCAAGCACTCGGATCCCGATGTAAACCGCGTCAAAAAGCGTGTTTCGTGCTCGCTACAATCATTCTTTCCCCGCCGACCCCGTTTTTTGGACCTTGACTGTTTGGAAACGGCACTATCTTCCTCCCCGTCGCTCTCATGCATCAGGAAAACTAAATTTTTCTGGGAGGTCTGGGGGGTCTGGCAGACCTGGACAATCTAGTCCCAGACTGGCCAGAAAATTACCTAGTACTAGGTGTTCCAGACATTCCCCCAGAGCAAACACCAGATAAAGAATGAACATTAAAATGCAATCTCATTAGCATGTGCATCTATATACTTATTAACATGAAATGAAAGAAAGGAATCAAGAGAGTCAGTATAGCGGAGGTCATGAGGAATATTACGTTCCCCAAACACAGGAATAAGATGGGCCGCGCAAAGAATAGTGTCCAAGTGCTCAATGGTAATGAAGTGAGACCCGTACCGGATGTCCGGTTCAACAATCCACATTCCCGTCTCTGGGTCGGGTCGGGTGCCCACCTTTTTAAACCACCGCACCAATGCACAAGGATGATAGACACCATTGTAGGTGAATGAGAAGAGCAGTCGGATACGAACAACACTCATGCCAGAAAAGCCAGGAGCATCATCTTCCACAATGAAGGCACAGTCACGACGTGGACCATGCTTTCGCCATGAGGGTGTACACCGTATACGCTCTCGTTTCATTCCACGGATACCAGAGGGATCACTCGGGGAATAGAAACTGGCAGTTGCGGAATGAAAGACGGAGAGGTGTTCGATATCGTCTAGGTTGGCGTTGGCATCAAGATTGAGGTAGGTTCGGAGGAGGTCGGAAAGCTGAGGAACATTGATATGAACACCAAGATCAACTGGATCAGAGGGGTAGGAACGCTCTATACCTTGATTAGTAATCACAAGCATGTTAGTCAGAACGGACCTCGTGTACGGGCAAGGACAACCGCACCCTCAACCCGTGGCCCATCAATGGCCTCTTCATCTGCATCGTCATCCACATTGATCTTATCCGGGAGAGCAGGAAACTGGGGACGTAGCATCCCACGCTCCTCAAAGTCGACACGGGCAGCAGCCAACTTGTCGAGCCGTTGGTTCGTAAGCAGCATTTGACCCAAGGCTTCGAACCGACTTGAGCAACGCCATGGTTTCTTGACCGCGGTTATGTGACGTGATTCAGTAATTGAAGAACAGACGCCATACGGCGCACCAAATCGTTTAATATCCCAGCAGTAGTGCAGGATAGAGTGCTGACGGGGTAATGAAAATCCCTCGGGGCGAACACCTGCTGTGCGGAAGAACTCGCGTCGCTTATGGAAGGTGGAAACCGCAGCATCAATTGAATCGAGGGTGTCTTCATCGAAGTCTTGTCGACGGACCAAATAGCAGAAATCCAGAAAGCTACTAAGCGTCTGGATAATTTCGGGCGGGACCAGACCCTTTAGTGCGGGAAGATAGACCTTCATTAGCGCTTTTGAGTCATCGCCAGTCCACTGCTTGAATCGTCGACCTTGCTTAAAGCGCCGAAGGCCGCCGAATGCCGGAACAGCAGCAATCCTATCAACCTTAGATAGTGTCCGGACTCGAGGTGTGGGAAACTTTACCGTCGATCAATCTCATCAAGGATTTTTTCTGCCTCGGCCTTCTCATGAGTCAGAGACAAATACTCCCCCACCCACTCGACCAGATGGTCCTTGAATGTGCCTTTGATCAATTGGTGAAGAAGGTCGGGCGAAAGCATCTCATGGATATCGGCTCGCAGAAACTCAGTCGTAAATGGCTACAAAGTCTAAGTGGATGACGATCAAATGGAATAGCAAGCCCGTACAATAACATCAGTGTTGATACCATAGTTTTCCCAAAGCGTCTTCGCATCACCGTCAAAGGCTGTGATTAGCTCCTCTGTACTCTCGTATGTTCGCGCTGTTGATATTGACCCATCGAGATCGTGTGCGGGAGCGGTACATCTATACATCACTGTTAATCTGGATAGACAATGACTTGAAGCAAATATACGTACTTGGTACACCAGCCTTGGACGATACCAGCTAGCAAAACTTGCTCCGGGTAGTCGGCGATGAATGGCCCGAAGTCATAAATGACACGGCGAAAGTGGCCATCGGGGCAGCGACGAACGACAGGGTTGGTCATTCCGGGCTTAAGCGATGAGAGAACGGCTGCCCAAGATGCATGGTACAGCTGGCGCTTGAACGTTCGGAAGGCTGGATCATTGTCGTACTTTCGATCGCCTGTCAGATATCAGTAAGAGCGAGGACAAAAAAAAAGCAGCGTCAGACTTTTGGGGATTGCAAGAAAAATGAAAGGGACAACCCCATTGCGATGCCCTCGACGGAGAGTACTGTGCTCGTTACCAAGGCCCATATACCCTGGATGGTATTCGACATTGCCGGTGGACACCGAGACAGTCGTCTTGTCCGCGCCAAAAGAACAGCGGGCAGATCATCGCTCCCCGCAGTTGAGTTATCTGCCTTGTAAATTTCGTCCTGGAGAGATTTAATACAATGGAAGTCATGAAAAGATTGCTCACCGAATGCGACCATGCGAAGTTGGCAGACATGAAGTCTGACCAGCGCCGTTTATTCTCTGGGTTGATCTCGATGTAGGGAGCATAGTCGAAGAGCCCGTTGAAGTCCGGGTTATCAAGGAGATTCTTGACAACAACTTTGGGGTCGCGGTACCATATTTCATAAGAGCGTCGGGCCCACTCGGGAGCATCAGCGGCAGTGGAGACAGGGTCGGTGACGAGGCACTTCCAAGGAGCGTCGCCCAACGTTGTTGCGTCAATCGTTTCATAGAGATGGTCGGCATTCGCGAATGGAGCAGGTTCGTCGGACTTGAGCTTATCCAACGCCCAAATCTCCAGCAGCTCGTCGATGTTGGAGCCTGAGATCTGAGCCTTGCGGAAAGCGAAGTCCGCAAGGCGGAACTGGACTAGGTCTTCGTACGGGTCCCATTCGTCCAGCGCAAGATCGTGTCGTGGCTGTGGTGGTTCCCCTGCGGGAAGATATACACCATTCTCATCGCACGGACGGCCTATCAAGCATGAGAAGTCGTCTTGGTCAGAGGCAGCTACAACGCACCAGTAAGAAATGGGTGATAGATACGGCGCCAGTGGTTCTCAGGCCCATTTCCCTCTGCAACGCTAGCAGGTGGGGTCGAAGAATGTGGCTCCCAAGCAGGCATTGGGCTGTCGCGCAAGGGAGATGGTTGTGAGCTCGATCCATTGCTAGGGGAAGGATTGTCGAAGGGCATTGTCGATGGCCCAGCGATTTCGGTCGGATTGTCGTGATAAGCACGAACGTGGCGAGTAAGGCCTGACGCGGTCTTGAATGTCCGCCCGCAGCCAGGAAACTGGCACGGTAAGTCCGGGATAGTCTTGCGATTGCCCCGCCGAGGCGATTTGGGCTTTGAAGCTCGAGGCATGTGTTGGTGGGTGGACTAGACAGGCTGGGGCTACGCCCCAGCTTCAAATATTGTTTCACAATTTTTTGCAGACTGAATATGCCAATTTTATTCATGAGTTTATGAAATATCAAGGTCTACATGCCCTCTATACTGATATTACAGCCAAGAACAACATCACAAATAGCCTTAGATTGGACTTGTTTATGGTACTTGATGTAAAATCTTGATTTTACAGCTTTATGTCCCAATTAGACTTTACAGCTTTTCTTACCAAATTAGGGTTTCAACAGCAGTGGTCCCAAAAGTGGAAATGTGGAGTAAATAAATTGCTAAAACTGATGCCAAACATGTGCATACATTCACACGACATCTGCTTAATATAAGAGTAATGACTTTGCAGAGACAGTGGCAAAAGCTTAAGGGGATTTAGCCGCAATGCTCCACAATTGGAGGGTATATCCGTACCGTATAGCCGGATAGGAGCCACCTGAAACAGCCTGAAACGAGTCCGATCGGCGCAAGAGGGTGCAGTGCTGCGGCACGTGTGCCAATAACAACCATCTCCTTTCCTCTTGCCCCCATGGACCAGCGTAAACGCCGTTCTGCTTCAGACCACCGCCCTGGCAAGATTGTCACCGATAACCGTCAGAAGCGACGGACCCCAGAGGAGATGGAGCAGCAGCGCCTCCAAAAGGAAGCAGACAAGGCCGACAAGGAAAAACGCGCCCAAGAAAAGCACGACAAACGCATTCGAGACGCGGCCGCTGCAGAAAAACGCGTTCGCCAACAGCAGCAAGCCTTGGCCACGTCCTCCAATCGGCCTGATCTTGCCCCAAACCACCAGACTCTGGTCCAAACCCACGCAAAGCAACAAAGCGAGGAGGAAGCGGCAAGTCGAATTTCTCCTCATTTCTTCTGCTTTTACATATGCTTTCCAGTCCCGCAACCCCAAGCACGCAGGCCAGGATGACGACGGAGGCAGCGATGAAGACGCTGCTGTTGTTAACCAGGTTTGTCATTGTGATTTTGACGAGCCAGACTAACTTTTCTTAGCCCAACAACCTTCCCAAATGCATTGCAGGTGACGAGAGCGAAGGCAGCTTGAGCGGAGACGGCGATGGCGACGACGAATACATTGACCCTGGCAGCCATTTGTCCGACGGCTCCGAGAGTGAGGGAAGTGCGATGGCGACTGAGGTCGACGATGGCGAGTACGAACGCGAGCTGGCGAGGTTGCAGGCAAAATTTGGGAAGAGCAAGAAGACGAAGACAGCTGTCGAGAAGGCGTCGGAGAGGAAGAAGGCCAAAAGCAAGGCGAAGGAGAAGGTCAGTCGAGTTTAACCACAGAACGATAACTCACCCGCAAAACTTAGGCCCCTCTCCGAGCTGCAATCAACGCTATCGACCAGCCCCAGCCCAAACCGGTCGCAAAACGCAAGGCGACCCATGCGTCCAGCTCCGACGGCCCCAGGTAGCTGTCCACCATCACAGATTTGCCTCTGACGATTGCCCAGGTCCAAAAAAACGCGAAAAGTGGCGTGGCTGCGAACTGGAGACAAGTCGCAGGCGTTGTAACTCCCCAATCCGGCGCATCTTCCGACCCGTGGCAAGGTGTGCTTGACCAAGGCAGACGCACGTCAACAACGTCTGTCTCTTCTGGTGCCGGCCTGCGAAGCGCAGACGATGAGATCGATGATATTCCTGAGGGAGATACTGAAAGCCTACAGGTTGCAGTGGAAGCAACTCAGCAAGGCCAAGTGGGTGCGACGACATCGAAGATAAGAGTCTAGTTGTTGTCGGTGGGAAAATCTATTGACGTGACATTGACAAGGCTGGCATCGTTCTTCGACAAGCATCTTCCGCTCCCGATGGCGAGGTCAAAGTCAAGAAAGGGCCCAAGCCCCGCTATACCAAGGAGGACTTGCCGCTCCATAGTGGTGAGGACAAGAAGGAATTCCGTGAATCTGTCGTCGGTTTTGTCATCGACTGGGCGGGGACTTTGGCACAACCATTCACCACTGCTGGCCATCCGGACTACAGGGGAAATGTCAAAGACGCATGGGAGACAGTCTTCTCCCAGGATGCCGCGTCTCCATATGCCATTACCAAGGCCGTTTATCATGTCGTATGTGTTCGTTTGCGGAACAAACTCATAATACTGACTATTTGGCAGGTTAGCGGGAATCTCGACAACTGGCGAAGCGATATTGGCAAGGAGGCTATTCGAGTAGCTGGAGCACTGCTGCAAGATGTCGAGCGAGATGATCAGGGTCAACCGCTGCCAAATCAGCCACTGGTCACCAAAGCACTTATCGCGCAGCGTGCGGAAGATCAGCTGGCCAACGCAAACTTTCTCTATGCTGGAGGAGCTGCCCATGTACGTTGTCCCCCATGCAACAACGTGATCTGACAGCGATAGACGGGGATATATCGCTCCAAGTACATTCTCATTCCATTTGCACGTCAGCACCTCCGACTCGCCATCCAGCCTCGCACCCACGCCAACTTTGGCTTCCCGGCTGGTGCTCTTGCTGTATGCGCTGCTGCAGTGCGCCATCCTGACCCCATTTGCTCCAAAACTAATATATTTTAGGCCCAACGCGCACTCGAGATGTGGCGGACAGGCGAGTTGATCACGAAGATTGATATTGGAGGCGGCCGCCACAAGAAGCTGCTGTTTTCAAGCAACGACTGGGCCAAACGAGCAACAAAATACTACAACGGCATCATCACCATCCAATCAGAGCAAAAGCGGCGGCTGATCCTCGAACTCGCCGAGCCATATACGAGGACGAAGGCCACTGCCAGCCTTGCCGATATCCCCTCTAGCGACCCTGACATGGATAACATGGATGACGGGCCAGGGAGCTTTGACCCACGGGAGCGATTGGACATTTCCGAGGATGAGGACGATGGGTAGAGGCTTAGTTTACTTGTTATTACGCTATTATACTGCCAATAATGAAGCTTACCCAACCCAACTACCCTCTGGATAAATGTCTGGTATCTCTCTAGAGGTGACTCTGGCACCAGCCAATCGTCTGGGAGCCTCTAGAATTGGGCATGTCTTCTGGGACCAGATGCTCTCTGGCAGACCTGGCAGACCTGGAGGACCTGGCACCAGGTCTGCCAGAGAAAAAGAGTTTTCCTGATGTGGCCCTGCCGCACCCCACCTTCATTCACTAGCACCCGCTGCCCACCCTCGTTAACCTCGACACCCTCCTGCTCTGTCTCTGCCGGTGCCTCCTCGGCGATATTCATCGCCTCTGCTTGCGTCGCAGCAGCCTCGACAGCAGCAATGATCTCGGCTTCCAAGGTCTTTGCACCTTTGTTAATCGAGTTTTTGCTGATGATCAGAATAGGCTCGCCCATCCTGGAGAGGTCTCGCGCAGCACGACCGGCCCGCTGCACCAGTGCGCAGAACGAGGGTGGTAGTTCCCATAGAACAACCCGTTCAATGTTACGCATATCACATCCCTTTCTACAGTAAGTGATCTATATTCCAGCCAGCATACAACGCTTACCATTCCAACAGCATCCGTGCAACACAGAATGCGAACACGGCCCTCAGCCAACATGAACTCAAGCTCCCGCTTTCGCTTTGGACCCACTTTGGCGTGGTAGAACGCCACGCAAGTCCCATCAGTCAGATTCTCAATGCCCTCGTCTGCGGCCCACTGGGTGAGTCGGTCGCGTGCCCGTTCCGCCTTCAATCGTTCATTGAAGTAAATTAGCGTCATTGGGATATCCGTGGCTGTCTTTGCGTCCTTCGGGATTGTGAAACGCAGGTCAGCCATCGAGTATTCCTCATGTTTTGTGGCCCGCGTAGACAGTGCAATATTCGGGCGTGCATTGGAGACGGCAATGCGGCGCGTTGCTGCGCGGGGAGCCCCAGGACCTGCCGCACCTCATCGAGCACATTGGATGGCCAGGTTGCCGAGGCCAGGAGAATTGGAACATGGGCAGGAACAAGTCCACAAAGTGCGCCGAGTTCGAGGTAATCAGGTCGAAAGCTGCCGCCCCATGTGCTGATGCAGTGTGCCTCATCCAGATTCACGACGCGACACCGGTTGCTAAGCTTGTTCATAACTTGTGACTTGTATTCCTTTGTTTTAAAGAGCTCTGGGGAGATGAGGATGTGTCGGTAAGCACCTGACGCTGCCGTCTGTTGCGATATTGTGTAAGGGGAGCATGTGATGTGACAGCTGTGACTGATCACGTGACTGGTCCGTGCGCAGATAGCCCTGTACTTAAGTAGTTGGCCGTGGGGCTGTTCCCCGGCTTTGGTATCAACTAGGCACCTGGACCCTCATCCCCTGACAGCATACCAAAGCCTCTATATCGACTCTGGCACTCTTCTAGCCCCAGTTGATCCTCTCTATCTCCTATATTCGTCCTCACCCTACTGTGCTTGCCTTCTCTCCTCAAACGACTCCCTGGCGTCTCTGTTGACCTGTATTCGTACTGCCTGCTTCTGCAGAGCGAAATTACTCGCCTCACCAACCGTCTCGACCGTCTTGAGTATGGTACGCCTGCTCCACCCCCTGCTCCCCCTTCCCCTGGTCCTACATTCCATGGTGTCTGGGACGGCAGTCGCTGGGTTCTTCCAACGATCCCGGCCCCTACCCCCTGCCGTCATTGCTGCGGCCCACACTTCCATACCACTTGCCGAAACCTTCCCCCCTACTGCGCCCGACACTGTCACGCGCTTCTCTTGTACGCTTGTGGTGCCTGACTCGGCTGTCGGGCATATCGTGGGTCGCGGCGGCAAGGGTCTCCACCAAGCTCACGACACTTCCGGTGCTCAGTTGCGCGTATACTCTGATCGCGCTGCGCCTGGCAGCGCCGGGTCTCTATCCGGGGAACCGACCAGCAAATCGGTGAAGCGCTTATCGCGCTTGGGAAACGGTTCATGCGCAAGCGTGTCCGTGCGAAGAAGCAACGTCAGCCACCGTCTGCTGAGGGACCTGCCCCCCCTCCTCCTGCCGCGCCTGTGCCTGTACCACGTGCCACGAAGATGGATGTCGACCGTGCCCCTCTGCACCGCTCGTCCACCGTGATCCACGCCCAGTCTCAGGTGCCCCGCGCCACCACTGCGGTTCGACCTGCCACTCATCCGAGGGCCTCGGCCGCTGGTGGGCCAGCTGGGCATTCGCGACTGTCTTCCCCCCTCTTCCCGTCTTCTCTACCCCGCCAACCTGCCGCCGCCACTACCCCACCTATGCAGGCCGCGGCACCATCTCTTCCTACCCCCCAGCCTTACCCTACTCCCCTTCGCACCCTCGGTGGTTATGGCCACTCCGTCGGGCGCTGACCAGCGCGTCACCTACCCCCGATCGGCTCTCCTATGCAGATCGACGTAGCTCACGCCCGGCCGTAAACCGGCAGACTGCCCGACGAGGGGGCGTACCTGCGCATCATCGCGCGTCATAGGCGACAACCTCTATTTCCCTGGCGATCCCGAATATGAGTTCGCAGAACCCTACACTCCGCCTATCCGTCGAGGCGACGGATCTTGAGGAGGGGTTGGTGTAAGGGGAGCATGTGATGTGACAGCTGTGACTGATCACGTGACTGGTCCGTGCGCAGATAGCCCTGTACTTAAGTAGTTGGCCGTGGGGCTGTTCCCCCGGCTTTGGTATCAACTAGGCACCTGGACCCTCATCCCCTGACATATTGATTCTTCTTGCATTCAGGTCATGATTGCACGCACCTCATATAGTTTTGCACGTCCAATGGCTTTGATGCTCTCTTGACAGATAGCCAATGTAGGAATCTTTGTATCTTTTGTCTGAGAATGTCCTTTAATGCCTGTGTGGACTCAAAATAACATGCTCACCTGGTCAAGCATGAGGGCTGTTAACGGCATGACGGTAATGGCAATGTCTCTCTGGTCAAAGAGCAGTGCTAAAATGAAGCACAGTGACTTCCCACATCCTGTCCCAACGTCCAGGATGAGGTTCTCGCCGCACAGAATGGCCACTGCTGCATCGAGCTGCCATTGGAACGGCGTCACCCCCAGTATCTCCTCTGCCATATTTTTCAGCTCTGCCACGTCAACAGAGTCGTGGGTGTATCTCTTGAGCTTCGGACTGGCAGTAGGCGTTGCAGCTGGGTCGAGTGGTGGCGTCTCGGGCATGGAGGACGCGTCGGGCGGTCGCGCAGCGCAAATTAGCTCAAGTAATCATGTCTATGTAATGATCACATGTATTTCCTAAAAAGGCTAAAGTTTTATTGCTCCCGCACCCTGCCAACCGTCACCTAAGATTTCCCAGTCTCTACTGAGATCAATTCCACCTCCACCTCTCCCAGAATTGAGCGGGAAGTAGTGACTGGGTGCGAGTCTAGTCGTCGACGTGGCCAGCGGAATTGAGCGGAAGAGACATGCGATGATGCCGTTACGCGTGACAGCACAGCACACTGACGAAACGTGATCCTGGTCGGCAATCACACGTCCTTCTTTCCTCCGCTCTTCCATCTTGTTCGCGTCACCTTCATCTTGTTCGCGTCACCTTCTGCTCGACTCGTACAACGCGAGCTGCTGCTTCCTCGGCTACATAGTCTCGACGACCTCCCGTCGACTAGCCCGCTCGCCTTTCCATCGACCACTCCGACGAGATTCCACGCCGAGCAATGGAAAACACGCGAGCTTGCGAGAACGGCTTCAGGCCTCGCTGGAAGATAACGCTGGATTGACATCGGTGCGTTGTCACATTCCCATGCGGTGCTGAGACTATGACGATATCGCCAGCGATGCGAAGAACTTTCCGCTGCGCTGGAAGGGATACATGTCATGTACAACCGCGACTGGCGCAGACGACCAGCGAGCTTCGCGGGGAAAACACGAGCTTGCAGTTGAAGTTGTTGCTATGTTGGACTAGCTGCACCGTTAAACTCTTCCGCTTATGCTGACCAGGCGGCGCACGAAGACCAAACGATCGTAAGTGCTTCTACTATTTGTCTGACCATTGTAATGACTGAGGATTCTTCTAGCCAGCTGTCGGCCGTGAGCGCCAACTCTACCTCGATTTCACGGCCGCTCTTCCTCCACCACCGTCCACGCGCCCCGATCTCAGCCTTCTTGACCCAGTTCTCTCGAAAGTGCGCGCATGGGTCCGCATGTCAACGGTGCAAGCTGAGGCAAGTTCCCACACTAGTCCCGCCTCCCTCTGGCGCTAACCCCGTTCTCAGCGCTCGCGGGAGTTCAGGCTGCTGGCCGGGCGCCCCGTGTGGTGCTCTGCGGACAAGACACGCATGTACTAGTACTCTCCCCCGCAGGTGTATCTCTCTAAACAACAGCATGGCGCTAGGGCACCGCCGGAGTGGCAGGTGAACCACGAGTTTTCCGGGCGCGTCGGGAAGGAGGTGGAGCTGTGAATGTGAGAGGAGATTGTGGTGGTGCAGTGCGCGAAAGGAAAGCATTGTCGCTTCATATAGGGACATCGAAGCCATCAGTGATGCCGATCACATCACCTTACCTCATCTGAAAATTTTTCTCTGTCCTCCACCACGACGATGATTCGACGAGAAGGCGAACCACTCTCGGCTTCTTCATCCATAATCGCAAGGCTTGCGGTGCCTTCCATGCCAACACTAGACGGGCATCCGGATTAGAGAAGCACCCTGAGAATGTGGCTCCACGCCCACGCCGCTTTGCCTCCGACGCTCATCTATCCCCAGCGTAGTCTCTCATGTCCAGCATCCCCGTCGTCGACTTTGCGCCGTTTCTCGCTTCCAAAACGACTCCCAACGACGAGTCGGAGCAGCAGAAGCAAGCGGTCGCAGCCGCCATCCTCGACTCATTCAAGCGCATTGGATTCGTGTACCTCGTCAACCACGGGATGGCGCAGTCCGAGATCGACGAGATGTTTGCAGTGGTGCGTTGGCCTCACTACCCTCGCTTCCTCGCTAACGCAGCGCCGCAGAGCAAGTCATTCTTCGCATTACCGCTTGAAACGAAGCTCCTCGCGCCACGACCGGCAGCGAAGACACACCACCGCGGGTACTCTGAGCTCGGCCGCGAGAAGGTCACGCAGCCGGGCGACACAGACGCATATGTGCCCGACACAAAGGAGAGCTTCGAGTGTGGGGCGGACAATGACGCCATGCCAAACGTGTGGCCGCCAGAAGAGGCGCTGCCGGGCTTCAGAGCAGCGTGTGATGCGTTCTATGCGGTACGTCGCTAGCGCTCGATTGCTCGTTCGTCCGCGATTGATGCTGCCCAGCGCTGCTATGAACTCGAGCAGAACATCCTCCGCGCCATCGCGCTTGGTTTTCGTCTCCCAGAAGACTACTTCCTTGCGAGTCATCCGCCCCAGCAGAACCAGCTGCGGCTTCTGCACTATCCGCCGTGCGTGCTTGTCCGTCCACCGCAGCCTCATTCGCTGATTTCCTTCTTCGCCAGCGTATCCCAAGCCAGCCTCGAAGAGGGCACTGCCCGCCGGATGGTTGCGCACACAGACTTCATTACAATCACGCTGCTGTTCCAGGACGATGTCGGAGGGTTGGAAGTCGAAGACCCCGCTCAGCCAGGGGTGTACATCGTACGGTCTGCCATAGCTTCCAAGTCGGAATGTCTGCTGATCTGCTGAAAGGCCGCGCAGCCGATTCCCGGCGCGGTGATCGTCAATGCCGGCGACCTCCTGAAGCGCTGTGCGTCATTTGTACCGTCTAGCCTTTTCTAACCCACACGTCCCGCAGGGTCAAATGATGTGATCAAGAGCACCAAGCACCGCGTGCGCGCGCCGCCGACAGCTGCGAAAGACGGCGTAACGCCTGCGCGGTACTCGATTCCATACGTGAGTATCTTTCCCTCAATTTTCTTGACTGATCTTCGAGCTAGTTCTGCGGACCTGTGCGTTGTCCGCTAGCTTTAACCTGGTCAGCGTGTTCATTTACCTCAGCTTCCTGACACCGTCGTCGATTGCATGCCCGGCACTTTCGACCCCTCGCAGCTGGAGACGAAGAGATATGCGCCGATTACGGCCAGTCTCCGCTTTCATTATGTTAACACTTGGACTGATTTTCAATTGTAGGCAGGAGATTATGTCATGCACCGCCTCGCGGATTCATATTGATTGGGCCACAGAAGCATGAACCGTCGAGGCTACTGATATTGCAAAAAAAATCTTGAGGCTTCTACGAACTTGTATGCATTGAAGCGGAATAAGCATATGATATTCTAGGCCTATAACTGATATGGATGCAGCGGACTGTACTTGATCTGGACGGTACCAATTATTACTTTAGACTGACAATTATAAAAAAAAAGGAACAAATTTCTTATGGAATTAACCAGTGAGATTGCTTATTGTGTCAAACAGTCAAAGTTTGGAAGAGACCATCTTGTTTTGCCTTTTGGGGTGCCAGGAACTCTACAGATGGCCAGGACTGGTGGTGACCTTTGCTAGGTCAGAGATTGTGTTGAGACTGTCAGAAATTTAATTGCCTTATGGAGACAGCCAACTGCACAGCCACATGAATATGGGACCACACCTTGTCAGTTCAACTTGATATTGTCCTGTGCACCCCCTGTAACCCCAAAATTGTCACCCAAACTTCCCAACTTTTATAGCAAAATAAGCTGATTTAGCCACGATTGAGTACTCCTTACAATAGGGTGTTTCACGACCCGCTTTTCGGGTGTTTTTTGAATCAAATTTTTGTTGTCTTTTTGCCAAGAGTGTCACAAAAAACGAGCAAAAAAAACGCGTGAACGTGAAACCCCACTTGTAAAAAATGGCCATTGTTTTTCTGTCCTGAGCCAAATGGCAGGCCCCGTCTCATTGTCTCTTTCCTCACCCCACCATCATGCCCACGCTGCCCATTCGCCAGCGCCTCCTCCGCTCTGCTGCAACCTACGCGGACCACCTAGGTGCTCAACGCTATGAGCGCCTAGCCATCGTGGCTGACCTGAATGACCCCATGCCACCGTTGTTGGAGGGAGACTCAGAGGACGAGGCCGATGATGAGGACGAGGAGATAAGTTCGGTTTCATCGGTTTCATCCATGGAGATGGACAGGTCCGGGTCCGAGTCTGCCAACCCATCGACCAACGAGGAGGAACAGATTGAGCACCAGTACATGTCACAGTATGCTGCTCTTCGTGAACACGTCAACTTGCTTGCCTCCACGCGCGTCCTCTTTCCCCACACCGTTTCCAAACGGTCCCAACTCGACCTCGTACTCCGTCTTTTCAAGAATGACGACCCTCCATGCTTCCGACGCAACCTGCGCGTCCTCCCGGACACCTTCAACCGCCTGCGGGCCAAAATTGACGGCCATTCCATCTTCCACGGCGGCAACAACCCCCAGCTTCCCGTCGAGCACCAGCTAGCCATCACCCTCTTGTGTTTCTCGCAATACATGACCAGGCAATCCAGTGGCTGGACGCGAGGGCGAAAGAGGAGGACACTTGTCCCGTTGTCAGACAAGCCAGGCCACCATGGCGAGGCATACTTCGACCGCAAGTCCAACTACTCGCTCAACGTTCAGGTGTGTCGCCATTATTGCTCACTTCTTGTTCATTACTCTAACACAATGTAGCTCATCAACCTCCCCAATTTGCGCATCGTCAACTACGTTATTGGCCCTGTCGGCATGCTCGCTCCAGGAGAATGGATTTGGGCTGATTCGGCATATGTGCTGGTCCCATGGTGCATCACACCATACAAGAAGCCCGCGGCGCTTGAGCCGGAGAACCGAAGATTTAATTACCATGTCTCCGCAGTGTGTGCGTTATCGTTGACATCAAGAATCTGGACTAATTCAATTTACAGGTCCGCATTCGCTCTGAGCACGCTGTGGGCTTTCGGTGTCCCGGAGGTATTCGATGGTGCGGCTGAGCCACACTGGGTTCTCGGACCAGGGGATGCCAGCCTTGCGCTCCTTGTCCACGACAGCACCGTTGCTGTCATCGGCAATAGCTTTCTTCTTGCGCTGAGCCATATGGTAGGAGGAGGAGACAAGCAGCGCGTTGTCAGGTGGAAAATTTTACATCTGGGGGACTGGCAACGGCAAAGAGCCAAAAAACAAGCTCAAAAATTGAAGGTCATTTTTCAAAAGCAGCTCAGGAGCTCCTTTTGAAAAACGACTGAAAAATGATATATATATATATTTTGTGACAAAAAACATCATCAAAAATCTACATCGAAAAACACCCAAAAAACAGGTCGTGAAACACCCTAATGAGTGGCCATTTTTGGCACCCTATTTCTCCACAAAAATTTCGCTTGGCTCACTCTTCTTTTGCAAAACCTCAATATGATTTGTGTTTGAATCTCTGGTATATGTGAAGAAGAAACAAGTTCATTGGTCCAGACTTGATAAGTAATTTCATGAGATCTTAGTCATTAATCAGGGTCCTTAGAATTTGGTTTATCATTTTTGAAGCTTACCATTTGGACATACTTAGGCTATTGTTTATCATTTTTTCATAATGAAGATATTTATGATGTTGTTTTCCAGAGAACACAGAGTCACACTGGGGTTTCTGCCCCAAAATCCAAAGTAGGATTTATTTTTGATAAATAGTAGACAAATATATATTTTAATGACTTGGAAAGATACCAAATAAAACTTCAGGAAAGTAGACTTGATTTGTAAGAAATTGGGCATATATTGATTCATCAGATTGGACTTATCAGCTGATATAAGACCATATCGGTTAAAAGTCTGGGACAGCACCAAAGTGTACCTGATATATCAAAAAACTAAGTAACAAACTGTGTCTATATATATCACAAATCATTCTGATATACAATAATAATAATAATGTGACACTAACTTTTTAACAAATATTTGGGCTCAAATGAGGCACTTACTGTTTAGAAAACATGGTCAGACAGGGCTAGTTACAATATATGCTATATTGGATACCCCGATACAGAACCTGATTTCTTGTAAATCAGATATATATTTTGGAACTGTTATTGCATATCAATCAAAGTAGCAACAAAGGCTATTGTTTTGGACCATTATTTCATTTATGTCAATTCCCATTCAAGGGGCTATCTTTTTGGCTGAAACCCCGGTATGAGTATGGCGGTCCAAGTGGGAAAGGAATAAATTTTCCACACACTTTGTAAAAAATTCCAGTTTTTCACAACCTTTTGAATAGTTTTTTGCTGATTTTTTTTTAAATTTATTTTAAACTATTTTCCGCAACTTTATTTGCTAAACTTGACAAAAAGTTGCGGATCACAGCCATTCAACATCACTCTGAATGTGGTTGATTCTAGTATTACCGGTTATTCATCATCAGCACGCATTGCTTCCCTTCAGCTAGCCTGAGAGTCTGGAATTCGTGATTTCATTGGACAACTCAATACGGAAATTAAAGTACAACTGAATCAAGGCTAGCAGGTCAGCGCTCCATTGCTGTTGGTGAAGCAATTGTCTAGAAACAACAACAGCGTTAATGCTTTAGCGCAGTGGACCGCAACTCACTAAGGTCAAAGTTGTCGACCTCGTGGCTGCCTCCATTGTTCGTGTTGCAATGAGCCGAAATCAGAACGGCGCTGCCCGACTGGAACAGGTTGAAGAAGACGCAGGACGAGCCCGCGCCGCCGCTACGACACCCATAGTCAGCACACGCTCTATCTTGTTCAGTTAACATTGCCACATACTTGCGGAGACAGCCGAGGTTCCCGTTGCTGTTGAGTACGCAGCTGCTGAGCGATGCGCGCGTGAACTGGGAGCCGCCGTTGCTGGTGCGACACACGGCGGTGACGTCTGCGGTGTTGGACACGATCGACCAGCTGCCGCAAGAGGCGCCGGCACCGTTAAGCGGCGTGGGCTCGACGCCGCTGGTAGTGTTGTGAGCAACGGCGGGCGTGGTTACTGCTGTCGCGAGTCCGGGGGCGAGGGCGATGGCCGAGATAATGAAGGTGGAGAGGCTGAGGCTGAACTGCATCGTAGTGGTTGAGCTTTTGGTATGAAGAGGGGATTGTGCGTGCTTTTATACGCGCTGAGCGAGATGACGAGGCGAAGCGCTATGCGGGAGGGAGTGTGAGAACGAGAGAGTACTCTTCGAGGAGCCATTGCAGCGATGGCTACTATACATCCTTGAGAGCAGCATGAATGAGGCCAATACACACGCTCCCGGGAGAAATCCGTATGCATCGCGATTGCGAAGGCTCGATTATTCGCTTTACAGCAACGTTAGGCCCAAGCTCATACACACTTGACCAACGTGCCAGGGACCACGCGCCGTCCCTCTTGATTCGAGCTCCGCCCAGGCCTGGCCGAATCTTCCAAAGAGTTGAAGTAGGTAGCGATAGTAGAAACGAGCCTACCTTGTTTTGCCTTTCGAGGTGCCGGGAACCCTACATAAGTCCGGTCACAATAAGCTGTAGTCGCTTGTACTGAGGTGAGTCGACGTACCGCCATTGCTGGAAAATAATGCCCTAAATTGGAGTCGGGGATCGTTCTCGGGCATAGCTATGGGCAAGTTCTGACCCACCGCTCTCCGAGCGTGGCCCGTTCGTGATGTCCACCATCCGGCAGGAGGACCACTTCGCGTTCAAGTAAGTGAAGCTACGCGGCACTTGTGACACGGCGAGACTGTTGGTGGATGAGTACTTCTGCGTACACCGAGAACGGCTTCGACGTGCGGAGAAAAGGGGGACGGGGACGTCTATTGGGTTGTTCTGCGGCGAGGCAATCCTGTAGCACGAGCCGCTCGAGCATGACGAAGGCGTTGTGCGCGCCGCATGACACTATTGTAGATAGAGTGGTGGCCTTTGCTAGATCAGAGAAGCCGTCAGGGGCGAGAAGCGGCGCACCAGAACATATTCTGCATTGTTCTAGCTTCCACCGGAGCCCTGGACCTGCGACGTGTCGAGGCCTATTAGCGCCCATACCGTATACGCATCATCCACGTGGAGCAGAAGACGGAGTGATGCATCCGTCACAACGTTACAAAAAAAACGGATGTCGGCCGATGCAGGAGGCATCACGTGTGTCGATCTCGGCTCCGACAGCGGGATTGATCGGTGATGGTTGTCAAGCGGCCACGCATGCCCTTTTCACGCCACGACGACGACGAGAGCGACGGCCGCCGTCTTGGCCACCGCCGCACTTACAACTGCATCTGCAACGAGTGGCGATTCGCGCGCGACGACGAAAGTCGAACAGCGACGGAGCGAATCCCAGCATGCGCAGTTACTTACTGTCGTGGCGACGGTGGGAACGAGGGCCCGGGGAAAGAATTCGTTGGGGCAGAAGAGGGGTTGGGGTCGCTCGGGTGGGTCTTTGCGCCGTGAATTCAGCGGATCTTCGCCCAAGAGAGAAGAAGGACGGGATGGCGGCTCCCATCATGCCCGACTCACCGGCTCCGACGCTAAGTAGTCGACGTCTCCACAGCAGACCAATTCGCGCCGCCCAAAACGCCGTGCGTTGGCTTCGATAAGGTAAGGAGCGGGAATCGTGGTGACCGCGGCTGGCGAAACACATGCGCCCTCTGTTTGTTGCCGGCCAAGGGCTTCTTGATTTGCCCTTCTGCTCCCGCGCCAAGATCTGCAGCGACCGCAATTTAACACCATGTGGAACCCTGTATTAGCGTTTTCCCTTTCCTCCTGCCCGCTCTCTCCCCCCTCCCATCCTCCCGGCAAGGATGTCCGCTGCGTCGATGGCGTCGATGCCCTACACCATGGCGGCGGCGACGCTCGATAACACACTTGGCGCGGTCTTCCTGGGTGTTGTCATCTCCTGCATGTGCGTGGCGCTGCATCCACACTGCCTTACCTCACTGACCCTGCCTCCACAGATTATACGGCATCTCCGTGCTGCAGGTGTACCTGTACTACCACTTCTACCCGTCCGATTCCCTCCTCCACAAGTGCTCTGTCACCTTCCTTTTCTTCCTCGACAGCCTGCACCTCGCGCTCACCGTGTCTGCGGCCTACCACTATGCAGTCACGGGCTTCGGCCATGAAGCGGGGCTGCAAGAAGTCGTCTGGCAAATAAAGGTCCGTGCGCCGTTTATGTTTGACGCCCCGTTTGACCCTGGCGTAGCTCGGCGTCGCTGTCAACGTCGTCGTCATCCTCCTCGTGCAGTCCCTGTACGCATACCGGGTGGTGCTGCTGAGCGGCTACCACCAGGGCGTGCTCGGCTACCTCGTTTGTGCCGTCGTCATATCCGGCTTCGCCGTCGGCATCGTCCTGGCGTACGAGACGTACACTGTGAATACGTGGGCAGACACAGCAGACATAGCCTGGGCCATTTATGCGTGTTTCAGCGCGAGCACGACGATCGACGTTGTGCTTAGCGGCGCAATGTGCTATTACCTCAAGAAGAGCCAGGGCGCGGAGCGAGTGCTCAATAGCAGAATATCCACGCTGATGCAGTATACGCTTAGCTGCGGGGTGTTCACCAGCGCGTGCTCCGTTGCGTGTCTCTTCTCGGTGCGTTGCCAAAGCCATCGTCTTGTGCCATCCTAACCCAGAGCAGTTCATCCTGATGTCGAACAACCTCATCTTCATCTCCCTCACCTTCATCCTCACCCGCCGTGCGTCCCTTGCCTAACCCATGCCCCCGCTGACCCCCACCGCAGTTTACGCCAACTCCTTCATGGCGATGCTCAACGCGCGTGCGCGGCGGCGGCCCACCCAGGCCCCGGCGCCCTCCGGCCCGCACCCGTCCACGCCCTACCACCTGCACTCCCCGAGCCCGAGCGTCGTGCTCGACGGCACGTACGTCCAGCGCCGCGTGAGCATCACGCGTGAGGCGGACTCGTTCGACGGCGAGAGCAAGACGGACGTCGAGCACAGCCCGCTGTCGACGCACAGCAAGCACACCTGGGACATGCTCGCGCCGCCGATCACCGCGCCGAGGAGGCCGGCAAGGCCGCCTGCGGGCCAGACGCTGAGCATGGGCCCGACGCAGGGCCGGCCGGACACGTATAATCGCGGGTGGTGAGGGCCCCCCCGGCGCGCCGTTTAGCTTTTCCAAAAGCCTGCGAGTGAGCCCGAGCCGCGGCCACGGTCGGTCGCTCGCCGGGCAGTTGTTGTACCATTACCATACCTCACGTTCGTTCTCCCAGTACCCACTGAAAGTAATACATTTGTGTCGGACATTTGATCTGCGCGCCGTTCGACGCGGCGTTGGAACTCCGGCCGAGTTCCGGAACATTCGCTGATCGTCGTCGGCCTTGCCATAGTGCTGCCGTTCACCGCATGCTATTTGCTTTGCTGCCTTTGCAGGTGCTTTGAATGTGCGGTCATTCTCCCACTGCTGCGCAAGCAAAGCGCGATCCGTCTCCGGCATTGACCAACAATGCACATCGTGACTCAGCCAACAAGCGCGGAGCGGGTACAAAAGGCGAAGACTTTTGCAAGCCTGTTTCCCCACTCCCGCTGCACAAATACCCCCCGCGTTCCTTCCACATTTTTCACCCTCAATTCACCCACAGATGGCTGACCGCTCCTCCTTCGTGAGTGCTCTGGCCCTGTCGACGTCTCCGACCGTGACTTCAAGTTGCTGACTTCGCCTTCCAGCATACCACCCCGCTCGCACCCATCGAGAACACGCCACTCGGCCCCCAAAGCTGCGTCCATGCAGGCAAAGGACGCGCCCACCCGTGCGTCACCTCTAATGCTTTCCTATGCCACTCACACTCTCTATCAGCGAGCCCAAGCACGCATTCACCGCGACTCCGGCCCACGGCGGGGCCCCTGTCAACCCCGCAACCCCTCGGGCCCCGTCCAGCCAAACCAATCCCCACGGCGTCACGGTGCGATATACACCGCTGGTCCGTCCACGGCCCACGCCTCCGTCCGATCCCTGGTCCACAGTCCGTTTCACGCCCGGGCCAGGACCCGCGCCCGGACCGGGCTTCGAGGCGGACTTCGCGCGTATGGCCAAAGCGATGGGGTATTATCCCGCGCCCGGCGAGCCCAGCAATGGCCGCCTTCCATCCACTCATTAACATGCCTGTCCGCAACCCCTGGCAGGATTCGACACGATGACGATCTTTGGACTGGTCACTGTAATTAATGATTCGCACGCTTATGTATTCCTGTATTCCTAAGTACCTCCACATTAATAATGCACAGCTGTTTGTTCTTATCGCAATGCTACAAATCCAATCCACTGGCGGTATAACAAAACAATCCCGGAAAAAGACTTCCCTGCTCTCACTCCACCCTCCTACGCGTCCTTGCGCCGCCAACACCAGCATTCAGATCCTCCCCAGCCTCGCTCGCACTCCGCTTCACGCCGATCACAGCCGCCTTCGTCCGCAGCGTCTCATACAGCTCCGCGTCAAACCCGACACACTGCAGCCCAAAACACTCCGCTCCGCGCGGTTCGCCATCGGGCAGAACCTCAGCGAGGACGTCCGCCAGCCGACCCCGCGACATGTCACCGTCGACCTCAACGTTCATCGCGCGCAAGAAGTGGTATATCGACTGCAGCGCATCGTCAGTCCACGCCACGCGAAACGAGCAAATGGAAAACACACGACGTCGTTTGGGACTGGGGACCCCGGCCCGTGCGCCGACCGCAGACTATGCACCATGTACACGCCCGCATAGTACACTTCATCGTCCCGCCTGTCTTCGCTCGCGCTGTCCTCCAGCGGCACGAACAAGTGCACCTCCTTACCTACCCTCCGCGCCATCTCTTTGTTTGGCATCCACTGCGGCGGTGGCCCTGTTGTGCCAGGCGAATAGCGGAGATAAACTTGCGGGGCAAAGGCCAGCGCGTGTGTCTGGTCCGGGGAGCACCACACTGTGCGGCCAGCGAGCAGGAAGAAGTCGCTGTCGCTCAAACCCTGAAATGTGGTTTAGATTTAGAAAGGTACTTGGCTTGGGAGGGAGCTTTCCTGTCGCTTCGCGATTCGGTGCCAATTGCGCACTTTCGGCAGTACTCGGTGTAGCTCATGCAAGGCTGGACGCGCGGGAGCGGCCGGAGGAAGAGAGGCCATGAAGTCGAGATATAATTGTCGCTCGGGGTCTGGGAGGGTTGGGATCGAGCAATTTTCCGTTGCTTCATGCACGTTCGTATTTGAATCCGGCGTCTAGCAGGGTTGAGACTGCATACCGTCAAGACAAATATGACGCACCACTCGAATATCCTGCAAATTCCCGACACTTAGCTCGCTATTTGTCTGTTTCTTCTGGTCATGTAGATCTTGCGCCTCTTTCGTGGCCACGACTCGGAGTAGCTCGTCATATCGCTGCACACTCAGTCAGTTCACCCGCGATCATTGCGAGAACTCAGGATCGCACCGACTGCAACTCCGTTCGCTGCTCCATTAAATCATGCACTCGCCCTCTCAAGCTCTCTATCGTGGCTTCCTGCTGTCCCAAGCGCTCGGTATCACGGCCCTACCCTCGTCTTCAGCAAATGTGAAACGGAGGAAGCAGTCGAAAGCATACACAGTTCACCGTCTTGCGGCAAGACCGCACCTCGTCATCTCGCCCCCTGCGCAAACGCATCTCGCGCCGCTGCACCGCGTCCCACAGCACGCCGACGAGGCGCTCGCCCACCATCGTCTTGACACTCTCGCTCAGCTCCATTTTCTGGCCCAGCCACGAGGGATGAGCGGTTGGAAACACGGGGGGACGGTGGAACACACCTCGCCGCCACGTTTGCTAGCGGCGAGCCCGTCCTGCGTGAGACCCAGCGCGCGCGAGAGGGCGAGAAGTGGGGAGTCGTCTATGACCATGGCAGCAAGGTAAGAGTCAAGAATCGCCGAGGAGGAACTCGTTTCGAAGAGACGGTGTGTCGCTGTGCGGTCAAGAAAGGTCGCGGCGGCAGATGGAAGAACGAAGGAGAGAAGTGAAGCGCGCGTGATTGCCGGCGAGGATCACGTTTCGTCGGCCGATGCTCACATGACTGCGGACAAATAATATTGCTTGAGTTGAACTATCTGCGGACTTGCTGCGGACTCCGAGTGCGCGAAATTGTGGACAGCACTTTTCACGCCTGTGCGCGATTTGGACCTGGGGTGGGCTGAGGGGTGGGCCTGCCTTATATATGGAAGAGCAGCTTGGCTTCAATGACCCTGCTCTTCCTGTTGTGGGTTCTGGGGGAGACAGTGAAAGTGGATCAGTCTGGTCTGTGCTTCATTAAATTGGCGGAGATAGGATATGCTATGGTAAGCCAAAGGGTAGCAAGGTTGGTTCAACACCTTCCAAGCTGAGCTCAACCTTTTGGTCATAGTGTGTCTGTCAGTGGTTTGCTAGTAGCTGTCTTGTTGTGGCATTTTCTCTTTGGTCTGGCAGTCTTCCTTCCTAAAAGACTGCCACTAAGCTGTTGGGAGAGTAGTGACCTCCCATACAGCCACTACACCTGATTGGCAACTCAGTAAAATTGCTAAAAAAAGTCAGAATAACAAAAGTCTTCTTATAAAGTGGATCATCTGGTGGATTGTACTCTTCCTGCATTCACAACTCATGTTGACTTCTCTTTCTGTACTATGGGTATTTTTTTCTTTTTTTCCCACACTTTAGGGCCGGCCCCATAAATGACTTATATATAAATAAAATATACTGCTGGCCCTAAAGTCTTTAGGGCCGGCCTTGTAAATGACTTGAAATAATATTATTATATTATATAATAATATAAGACTGGCCCTAAAGTAAATGACTGAATAATAACTGGCTGACTGAATTCATTGTAATGACTTTAGGGCCAGTCTCACTTAACTGCCAGGTGGGAGTTGGCAGACAAAGTTGTAGATATCGCAAATTGAACATTAGGTTCAGTTTTGACCTAAGCTTAATTGTTAATGGTTGGCTCACAAATTGGCAAAGAGTGAAAAATCACGAGTGTCTTTCTGAGTGGAATTCCGCGGACTCCACTTTAGGGCCGGCTCAATTAATGAAAGTTGTAGATATTCAAAATTCATCACTAGGTTCAGTTTTGACCTAAGCCTAATTGTTAATGGTTAGCCCAGAAAACACAGAAATGTGAAAAATCACAAGTGTCTTTTAAGGTGGAGGTCCGCGGATTCCACTTTAGGGCTGGTTCAAGCCAGGTCTAATAGGTGGACATCCGCGGATTTCCACTTTAGGGCCGGGCTCAATTAAGCAAAGTTGTAGATATTCAAAATTTGTGACTTGGTTCAGTTTCGACCTAAGCCTGATTGTTACTAAAGTTTAAAAAATCACGAGTGTCTTTTCAAGTGGAAATCCGCGGAAGTCCGCTTTAGGGCCGGTTCAAACCCCAAGTTGAACTTGACTTTTTTTCCAGTTTTGAAATAGTGTTAGGCTTATAACTTGGCCAGTTCTTATCCGTTTTGGATGATTTATATACCATTAGAAAGCTATTGCAAATCTCTACAATCTGGATCTGAGGACTAGGGTTCACTAAACTATGTGCTAATGCTATTCATTCAGTTCAGTTGTGTCTGATGGACTGGCTCAAAGTGGGCAGAAATCCACTTTATGGCCAGTTTACCTGACAAGTCTGACTTAACTATATGGGCAGTATATTGTATCAAAGGTTTTACAACAACTCTTCCCAAAAACAGAATTTAGGTACAACTTTGATTTTACCCTAAATTCAATGATACAACTCATTTTTACAGGTGCAACTTGCAACTTTTTATGCACAACTTCATGACAACTATTCCTCTCATCAGCAAGTTCATAGGAAGATGCTGCAACTTAGAACTACTTGTTACAACTTTTAACATGCAACTTGTAACTTTACCCATGCATGTGCACCTTGCAACTCAGCATCTGCAATTTGTAACTTCTGTGGAACTTATATAGCATTTAGAAGCATCCCAGTACACAATCAGATATATACTAAGATTCCCCTCACCCCGAAGGGATCATCGAAGCCGATCCAATCGTCTCCCAAAGGCCGAAGTTAGGGTATGAGGCAAAACAAACAAACCCTGCTCGACACATCCACCACCAGGAAATGCACAACTGCACTTATGCCAGTCCGCCTTTACGGCTCGCTGGTTGCGTCGTGTGGGGCTGGGAGACTCTCCAGGGCAGCAATTAGCAACTGACAATCTCTTATAATGTAACTTTCAATAAGTATGATGCAACTTTTTGACTTGATTCTGGTGGAAGCAGAAACCAGGAATTTCTGAAAGATGGTTTCAGATAACTATATATAATAATATTCAATCATATCCATCAATTTGATCTACAATCATGGTAATTTTAGGCTAATTTCCTAGCAATGGCTAGACTAGTTGTGGGCTGGTAGGCAATAGTCTCTCACCTGAATGCCAGGGAAAATATATGAAAATATCTCGTGCACTTTTGAGGAAGCTATCTACCTCTTGAATTGAATATGTTATTACAATTGATTAAATAAATGAGCTTCTGTAATTATCACTCTAAGTTCCGACATTGCTCTGCATATAGTATTAGGCTTGGACTCCTAGCTTATTTTTTTACTAAGTATTATACTGTTTTTTTTTAGTATAACACTTGGATTTATTGTAGCAGTATTGTAGTTGTAGAAAAGAAGTTACAGCCAACAACTTTCAAGTTTGTGTTGGTTGTTTAAAAGTTGCAGTCAACATGTTTGAAGTTGTAGTAATAGTAGACAAAAGTTGCTAACGAACAAATTGAGGTTGTAGTTATAAAAATAAAAAATACAGCTAACAACTTGTAATAATTGGGAGGTTGCAAGTGTCCTAAGGAAATTGTGTTCATGGTTTTGGAGGTTGTTCTCCATTAAAACATGTTGAGACTGATAAATCAGAGTTGTATTCAAAAAAGCGCAGAAAAAAAGTTGAAAGTTGTAAAATACTTATGATACAGTATACCACCCATATAACTACCAGGTGGAATAATTCAACTTTTAAGTTGAGCAAGATATGATAATATACTTTATACATTGTCAATGGTTGCAAATCACTAGGTGGAAATCTGAAACCATTGTCATTTTGGCCCTATAAAATATTATTAGGCTTGTAACTTGTCTGCTTAGGATGATTTATGTATTGACTATTCCATCTCTTGAAACTGCACCTTCTACCATCTGGGCAGGCAGTGCACCATTGCTGGATAGCTTCCTAGGAGCACTTCTCATCGGCACCCTCTCAGCCAACCACGAATCACTTGTTGATGCCTTGTGCACAGTGTGAGCCTGCACAAATCGCAAGACACACTCTTCTGAGTACTGTATTGCGGAAGGCAGCGGCATGGCCGGGAAGATGGTGGCGGAGGCACGGGTGGTGAGAGAGGCCTCACGGAAGCGTGGGAGTGGAGCTGGCCAACACCCATCCGAGGCGACAACAATACAGCCAGAAAAATTGCTCTTGACCAGTGCTTCCGCAGCCGCACAAAGGCCATCAACGTCTGATATAAATTCATCAACGACATCATCAAAAAAAAGGCAAAATATCCCTCCCACGTGTGTCTACACACAACAATGTTGCCAACACTCTCACTAAATCTCTGGCAAAACCTGACTTCAACCGCTATTATGCTGCCTTGGGGATCATGGAATAACAAGTCAGGGGTGCGAGCATGGGAGGTGGCATTGCAGAGCTGCTCTCATTCATCACTGCTGAACATCCTTCTTGTTTTTCGAGTCAGCCAACTGGAGATGCCTCCGACCTTGATGGGGTCCATTTCAACATAGTTGTAGGGGATGACTCTGAGGTACTCGATTGATGATTTTTCAAAGTCGCACTTCTCTGCTCGAAGGTACAACTTGTGCTCTTGGAGTCGCCGTAAGACCTCCTGAACAATCTGTTGGTGTTTCCAAAGGTCGGAATGGGCAATCGAGATGTTGTCGAGGCAGATCATGATGTCTCTGGAAAGGATGAGGTCCTGAAAAATGTCATTCATCATCATTTGGAACGTCGCAGGGGAGTTTGTCAGGCTGAAATACATCACCAAGGGCTCAAACAGGCCTCGGTTGGTCCGGAAAGCCGCTTTCCACTCGTCACCTTCCTTGATCTGGACGTTGTTGAAGCCCCAACGGACATCGAGTTTGGTGAAGTAATGAGCATCTTTGAGCCAGTTGATGAGGTCATTGATCAACAGGATACCGGTTTTTGACAGTCATCACATTGAGGGCCCAGTAGTCCTGGACAAAGCGGAGTCCGCCATCGGGATAGAAGGAGCTGTAGAAGATGTGGTCGCCATCTTTGAGCTGGTCGTTATCCGAGTCCGAGTCCGGGGTCAGAGCAGGCAAACCAGAGTTGTGACCAGAATCAGAATCGTCTTCGTCATCAGGACCAGAGAGGTCCATGGCAAGCAAAAGCTTCAGTGCACTTGCGGTGGACTCTAGCTCCAATGGGAGGTAGAGGGAATTCACCACAGGGGCAGCAGCAACAGTGTACTGCTTGGGTAATGTCTTTTCCCAGGCAGTGAGACAACAGGCAAAGTTGGAGTCGGAATCGAAGAGGGGGCAGGAGAGGGTATGTCTTTTGTTTTGGGCTCATTGTAGGGCAAGGAACTGCATTTATCATACAAGGAGGCAGAATGATTTATGGATGCAAACGAGGGCACACCAGTCACTTGTTGCGGGGGACAAAATCCTCTCCGGCCATTGACTCTGCAGCCGTTTCCGGCAGGGCAGCTGTGTCGGAGTAGTGGGTGATCAACTCCGCTAACATCTTGTCGCCGAGTCCTATATATATTGAAATTTATGATTTGTTCCTATTTTCTGCCTCTTACAACTTTACAAGCCCAGTTTATTTCCTTAAAGATCAATTTCCATAACTTCTTGAGAAAACATATAGTGCTGATTACATAAGCATCAACTTACAAGATTAAGGGAAAGAATCTTCAGGATAAAAGTAGAGTCTGAAGTGCTCTGTACTTTTGTTGCTTTCTGTATTTCCTCTACATAGAGCATTTTATTGGAATCTTTAATTTCTCCACTAGTAAATAGCCCAATCAAATATCTTTGCTTATAGTAATCATAACATGTCGATTACGTAAGCAGATGGGTATGTCAATTTTTGTTTTGGCTACAGTTTTATTAGTAGTCGCCAATCTATTTTATCCATAACTGCAAGATTTTCGGCACAACTTGCAAAAATTTCACTCTGTAAATGAAACATACACTTTCCAGTTGATTGGCAAATGAAATCAGTGCCACCCACGACCCATGAATCGCGAGGAGGGACCAGGTCTGTCTCTAGCAAAACTGGCAAGCGAAAGCTCACAGGCAAGATCGCTGGAGTTCGCTTCCCACACGCGTCTCGCAACTGCGTGAATATCTTCCAAGCTTAGTCTCGCACAAAATGGAGCGACATACTTTATAACTTGAACGACGCTCCGGGGCTGTCCGGAAAGACAGCACTGTCTCCCCACTCAGGTTTACCCGTCGCAAATAGGAAAACGTTTGCGAGACAAATAGAGTGGGGGATAATTCAGCCGCGCACAGACTCGGACGCGCGGTGACGCAGACGCTGAAAACACATGCGTTGAGCCACAGGGTTTAGCGGCAGTCTGAAAAAACTCACAGAATCAAGAAAACCAACCTGTGCAAGCGGAATGTGCTGTCCGCGCACGGCCCAAGACGCGAAGGACGTGGCTGGCCCTGTTGCCGGCCAGATGGCGCCAAAGTTTCAGCCATCGCAGATCGGCTAGGAAGACAGCGCAAATCAATACCTGTGGCCGAAACGGGCAAGGGCGGAGCTGATTTCAGCATAGAATGCGACTAGAAAGCTCCGCGTAGAGTGGCAGCATATTGTTTGACGTGTTTGTGGCGTCTCAGACGCGTTACGGCGGTGATTTTGCGAATAACAGGCGGCAGACGGGCCGGACACCGCAGGCCGCAACAAACAGCGGTCGGGCCGCGCAGGGCGAGCCACTGGCCCGTTCCTCCCGGAAATTTCAGGGAATAAAGAGGCACATCGTCCCTCGCATCGCTGACAATCCAGGCGGAACGCCCGAGAAACGCACCCAGCGCTCTGGAGTCTCGGCGAAGATGCGACCTAGACCGAGCATGGCGGACGCAGGCTCGACTCCTGAGATTTAAGCCAGAATGGAGCGTCTCGGCGGCAATTGAACACGCGGCAGACCGGCCACAACACCACAAACCCCAACAGACAACGGTCGGGCCGCGCAGGGACAACCACGCGCCCGTTCCGCCCAGGAAGTTCAGGAAATGAAGGGGCGGACCATGCCTCATATCCCTGAGAGTTCCAGGCGGAACACGCATAAACTCGACGCAGCGCCCTCGAGTCTCGGAGGTCAGGTGGCCTAGAGCGAGTACCGCGGCTGCATACCGCCGCAGGCGCATAGGACGCGCCAAACATGTTGAGATAACTCCTCTGCGTCTTCCCCCGCGGTGGCAGAGGCCTTGTGGGGGCGAAACGGCCGGTTTCGAGGCAAACTCGGCGCGTTGCCGGCTCGAATCCAGCCGGTGGATTGCCACCAAAGTCCAGTTTCCCAACGAGGACGTCGTCCTCTCTTCTCGAGCCCAGTTCTGCGTCAATCTGCTGTCGCGATCGCGCGTCACGGCCAATTATTGCGAGATTCAAGTCCAAGATGGGCAGAAACGGCGGGGAGGAGAATTGCGAATGGTGGGAGTGGGATTGTGCATCGTGTTGGACGCTGGTTGCACTTTCAGGGCAGGAAGAAGAACAAATAAGAGTGCAAAACCAATTTCAAGTTGCGCTGGCCCGGACACAGCAGCGAGATCGCTGCAAAAGTCCAAGGGAAGAGTGACGCGCTGCGCGCGTCGCGAGGTTCGCGCCAGTAGACCGCCGTGATGGCGCGCTTTCGTGAAATTCGGCCCCCAAACTCCCGAGTTGTACGTACAACTTCTTGGCCCAGAGTTTGAGCAAGCCGTGGTCGTCCGGGGCCGCGATGAGCGCTGGAGAGGCGAAAGGGAAGGGGAGTGGGCAGGACAAGGATGGCTTTGGAGCGAAGGTCACTTATATTTGTTTGAATTAAGCCTTTGAAGTCAGCGGAAGACTCACCGAGACGGGACGGCGCGATGCAAGACGAGGACGACTCGGTTGTTTTGCTTGGGATTGCACATAGCGTCGCCGGCCACAGCTTCCTATCCAGACCAAACGCGCGCGAAACCGGCCGGGACGCGGCTACCTTCGAAAAGCGCCGGCGGGACCGCGCAGAGCCAGGCGCCGGCCCGTTCTGCCTGGTTTTTTGAGAAAGCGGAGGGACCCATTCGTGCTCTCTGCCCTGATAATCTCAGTCGGAAGGAACAAGAACTCGGCCCGCCGTCCTCGGGTTTCGCACAACAGAGTCCGCTTCGCCCAGACCCAGCCGGTGCCTTGTTCCCCCTGAAGATTTCAGGAACGAGAGGTCCAGGGTGGCGCCGCCTGCGCTGAACATTTCAGCCAGAACGAGCCGCAAATGCACCCGGCGCTCACCGATCTCGTGCACACCGCGGCTAGCCTCGACGACAGCCGCCAGAGACTGCTGTTGACCGCGGAGACGCGCCGAGACTGCTGTCCTCAGTCTCTGAAGTCTCCCCACATACATGGACCACGCGGCCGGGGGCGACTTCTGGGCGATGCAGCCAGGCTTCGCGCCTTGCGCTGGCCCGATGCAGCCAGAAGATCGCCGGCGCAAAGGTCCACCGCAATCGGAGCGGGTTTCGCAGCAGTCGACCGCTCCGATGGCGCGTTTTCGTGAGCTTTGGCCCCAGAACTCCCGACTCTTGTAAGTGCAGCTTTCTTCGCCCAGCATTCGTTGCTGGCTTGGTCGTCCGGGGCCACGAACAGGGCGGGAGAGACGAAAGGGAATCCACAGGAAGGGCCCCAGTTGGCGCCAGGGCTGGCTTCAAGTTTGAAGCCGTCTTGCTGTTGAGTGAGAGTGGCGACGGCGGCGCAGCAGTGCATCGTCTTGGGGGTTTTGACGGCGGGTTGCCGTTCAGGGCTCCAAGCAGCGGAGTGGGAGTGGTGGTGGTTGATAAAAAAGAAGCACTGATAGGCATCCGGCGTGCGGGGCCGACGGCCGAGGAGCGTTCCCACACAGCCTCAGGAAGTTTTTTTCCCCTTCGCCCACGACCCACCGCGCAAACGCGTTTGCCTGCATGGACCGACGAGGCGGGGGGAGACGGGGCTGGTGATAGCGTTGTTAGTGGGCTTGGCGGGTGGACTGCCGGACGCGCCTACCCGTGCGTCACCTCCAATGTCCCTCTTATGCCACTCACGCCCCCCATCAGCGATCCCAAGCACGCATTCGCCGCGACTCGTTTCACGCCCGGACCAGGACCCGCGCCTTCGACCAGTCGCACGCTCCTGTACATTTGATGACATACACATATACAAAATCTTCACGCCGTTCACGTCCTCGCGCAGCACGTTCCGTCAGTCCACGCCCCGCGAAACGAGCAAATGGAAAACACACGACGTCGTTTGGGACTGGGGACCCCGGCCCGTGCGCCGACCGCAGACTATGCACCATGTACACGCCTGCATAGTACACTTCATCGTCCCGCCTGTCTTCGCTCGCGCTGTCCTCCAGCGGCACGAACAAGTGCACCTCCCTACCTACCCTCCGCGCCATCTCTTTGTTTGGCATCCACTGCGGCGGTGCCCCTGTTGTGCCAGGCGAATAGCGGAGATAAACTTGCGGGGCAAAGGCCAGCGCGTGTGTCTGGTCCGGGGAGCACCACACCGTGCGGCCAGCGAGCAGGAAGAAGTCGCTGCCGCTTAAATCCTGAAGTGTGGTTTAGGTTTAGAAAGGTACTTGGCTTGGGCGGGAGCTTTCCTGTCGCTTCGCGATTCGGTGCCAATTGCGCACTTTCGGCAGTACTCGGTGTAGCTCATGCAAGGCTGGACGCGCGGGAGCCGCCGGAGGAAGAGAGGCCATGAAGTCGAGATATAATCGTCGCTCGGGGTCTGGTATTGAGCAATTTTCCGTTGCTTCATGCACGTCCGTATTTGAATCCGGCGTCTAGCAGGGTTGAGACTGCATACCGTCAAGACAAATATGACGCACCACTCGAATATCCTGCAAATTCCCGACACTTAGCTCGCTATTTGTCTGTTTCTTCTGGTCATGTAGATCTTGCGCCTCTTTCGTGGCCACGACTCGGAGTAGCTCGTCATATCGCTGCACACTCAGTCAGTTCACCCGCGATCATTGCGAGAACTCAGGATCGCACCGACTGCAACTCCGTTCGCTGCTCCATTAAATCATGCACTCGCCCCCTCAAGCTCTCTGTCGTGGCTTCCTGCCGTTCTAAGCGCTCGGTATCACGGCCCTACCCTCGTCTTCAGCAAATGTGAAACGGAGGAAGCAGTCGAAAGCATACACAGTTCACCGTCTTGCGGCAAGACCGCACCTCGTCGTCTCGCCCCCCGCGCAAACGCATCTCCCGTCGCTGCACCGCGTCCCACAGGACGCCGACGAGGCGCTCGCCCACCATCGTCTTGACACTCTCGCTCAGCTCCATTTTCTGGCCCAGCCACGAGGGATGAGCGGTTAGAACCACGGGGGACGGTGGAACGCACCTCGCCGCCACGTTTGCTAGCGGCGAGCCCGTCCTGCGTGAGACCCAGCGCACGCGAGAGGGCGAGAAGTGGGGAGTCGTCTATGACCATGGCAACAAGGTAAGAGTCAAGACACCTGTTTCGAAGAGACGGTGTGTCGCTGTGCGGTCAAGAAAGGTCGCGGCGGCAGATGGAAGAATGAAGGAGAGAAGTGAAGCGCGCGTGATTGCCGGCGAGGATCACGTTTCGTCGGCCGATGCTCACATGACTGCGGACAAATAATATTGCTTGAGTTGAACTATCTGCGGACTTGCTGCGGACTCCGAGTGCGCGAAATTGTGGACAGCACTTTTCACGCCTGTGCGCGATTTGGACCTGGGGTGGGCTGAGGGGTGGGCCTGCCTTATATATGGAAGAGCAGCTTGGCTTCAATGACCCTGCTCTTCCTGTTGTGGGTTCTGGGGGAGACAGTGAAAGTGGATCAGTCTGGTCTGTGCTTCATTAAATTGGCGGAGATAGGATATGCTATGGTAAGCCAAAGGGTAGCAAGGTTGGTTCAACACCTTCCAAGCTGAGCTCAACCTTTTGGTCATAGTGTGTTTGTCAGTGGTTTGCTAGTAGCTGTCTTGTTGTGGCATTTTCTCTTTGGTCTGGCAGTCTTCCTTCCTAAAAGACTGCCACTAAGCTGCTGGGAGAGTAGTGACCTCCCATACAGCCACTACACCTGATTGGCAACTCAGTAAAATTGCTAAAAAAAGTCAGAATAACAAAAGTCTTCTTATAAAGTGGATCATCTGGTGGATTGTGCTCTTCCTGCATTCACAACTCATGTTGACTTCTCTTTCTGTACTATGGGTATTTTTTTCTTTTTTTCCCACACTTTAGGGCCGGCCCCATAAATGACTTATATATAAATAAAATAATATAAAAGACTGGCCCTAAAGTAAAGACTGACTGAGTTCATTGTAATGACTTTAGGGCCAGTCTCACTTAACTGCCAGGTGGGAGTTGGCAGACAAAGTTGTAGATATCGCAAATTGAACATTAGGTTCAGTTTTGACCTAAGCTTAATTGTTAATGGTTGGCTCACAAATTGGCAAAGAGTGAAAAATCACGAGTGTCTTTCTGAGTGGAATTCCGCGGACTCCACTTTAGGGCCGGCTCAATTAATGAAAGTTGTAGATATTCAAAATTCATCACTAGGTTCAGTTTTGACCTAAGCCTAATTGTTAATGGTTGGACCAGAAAACACAGAAAAGTGAAAAATCACAAGTGTCTTTTAAGGTGGAGGTCCGCGGATTCCACTTTAGGGCTGGTTCAAGCCAGGTCTAATAGGTGGACATCCGCGGATTTCCACTTTAGGGCCGGGCTCAATTAAGCAAAGTTGTAGATATTCAAAATTTGTGACTTGGTTCAGTTTCGACCTAAGCCTGATTGTTACTAGTTAGTCCAAAAAATGCAAAAGTTTAAAAAATCACGAGTGTCTTTTCAAGTGGAAATCCGCGGAAGTCCGCTTTAGGGCCGGTTCAAACCCCAAGTTGAACTTGACTTTTTTTCCAGTTTTGAAATAGTGTTAGGCTTATAACTTGGCCAGTTCTTATCCGTTTTGGATGATTTATATACCATTAGAAAGCTATTGCAAATCTCTACAATCTGGATCTGAGGACTAGGGTTCACTAAACTATGTGCTAATGCTATTCATTCAGTTCAGTTGTGTCTGATGGACTGGCTCAAAGTGGGCAGAAATCCACTTTATGGCCAGTTTACCTGACAAGTCTGACTTAACTATATGGGCAGTATATTGTATCAAAGGTTTTACAACAACTCTTCCCAAAAACAGAATTTAGGTACAACTTTGATTTTACCCTAAATTCAATGATACAACTCATTTTTACAGGTGCAACTTGCAACTTTTTATGCACAACTTCATGACAACTATTCCTCTCATCAGCAAGTTCATAGGAAGATGCTGCAACTTAGAACTACTTGTTACAACTTTTAACATGCAACTTGTAACTTTACCCATGCATGTGCACCTTGCAACTCAGCATCTGCAATTTGTAACTTCTGTGGAACTTATATAGCATTTAGAAGCATCCCAGTACACAATCAGATATATACTAAGATTCCCCTCACCCCGAAGGGATCATCGGCCTGATCCAATCGTCTCCCAAAGGCCGAAGTTAGGGTATGAGGCAAAACAAACAAACCCTGCTCGACACATCCACCACCAGGAAATGCACAACTGCACTTATGCCAGTCCGCCTTTACGGCTCGCTGGTTGCGTCGTGTGGGGCTGGGAGACTCTCCAGGGCAGCAATTAGCAACTGACAATCTCTTATAATGTAACTTTCAATAAGTATGATGCAACTTTTTGACTTGATTCTGGTGGAAGCAGAAACCAGGAATTTCTGAAAGATGGTTTCAGATAACTATATATAATAATATTCAATCATATCCATCAATTTGATCTACAATCATGGTAATTTTAGGCTAATTTCCTAGCAATGGCTAGACTAGTTGTGGGCTGGTAGGCAATAGTCTCTCACCTGAATGCCAGGGAAAATATATGAAAATATCTCGTGCACTTTTGAGGAAGCTATCTACCTCTTGAATTGAATATGTTATTACAATTGATTAAATAAATGAGCTTCTGTAATTATCACTCTAAGTTCCGACATTGCTCTGCATATAGTATTAGGCTTGGACTCCTAGCTTATTTTTTTACTAAGTATTATACTGTTTTTTTTTAGTATAACACTTGGATTTATTGTAGCAGTATTGTAGTTGTAGAAAAGAAGTTACAGCCAACAACTTTCAAGTTTGTGTTGGTTGTTTAAAAGTTGCAGTCAACATGTTTGAAGTTGTAGTAATAGTAGACAAAAGTTGCTAACGAACAAATTGAGGTTGTAGTTATAAAAATAAAAAATACAGCTAACAACTTGTAATAATTGGGAGGTTGCAAGTGTCCTAAGGAAATTATGTTCATGGTTTTGGAGGTTGTTCTCCATTAAAACATGTTGAGACTGATAAATCAGAGTTGTATTCAAAAAAGCGCAGAAAAAAAGTTGAAAGTTGTAAAATACTTATGATACAGTATACCACCCATATAACTACCAGGTGGAATAATTCAACTTTTAAGTTGAGCAAGATATGATAATATACTTTATACATTGTCAATGGTTGCAAATCACTAGGTGGAAATCTGAAACCATTGTCATTTTGGCCCTATAAAATATTATTAGGCTTGTAACTTGTCTGCTTAGGATGATTTATGTATTGACTATTCCATCTCTTGAAACTGCACCTTCTACCATCTGGGCAGGCAGTGCACCATTGCTGGATAGCTTCCTAGGAGCACTTCTCATCGGCACCCTCTCAGCCAACCACGAATCACTTGT